TTCCCACCACTCCCAAATAAACAAAACAACAATAACAACGACAACAGAGAAATACCAAAAAAAGAAGAAGGGAGAAGGAAAAGAAAAAAAAAAATAGTGGTAAATAAACAAACTGAGAGGATGAAAAATAAGAGAATGGAAAAGGGTAGGACCACGTCCAAATGACCGGTTCAGTCATACAACATGAACCTGTAACGCTCTATCCACAAATATCTATGGTGTAGAGACGTAGTAAAAATAATTAGGAGGCGGGTTTTTACCAGAAATGCTGGCGGCCGCGACGGCAGAGACACCGACTAGCTGGGACGGAGACAAATATGACTCGCGAAGAAGGGGCTGCGGGGAGGCCATCACAACCTGGGAGGAGCCAACATTACCACCGTAAGGAAACCCATACGGTGGTAGAGGCGGCGACTGCTGCGGTGCCGAAGTAATAGGAACAAAAACATGAACCCCACCGGGGCCTTGTTGAAGCAGCATAAATTGCTGCTGCTGCTGCTGCTGCGGTTGCGGTTGCGGTTGCGGTTGCGGTTGAGGTATACTTACGTGTGCGGGAGGAAACGCTCCACCGGGTGGTGTTCCGGCGAAATTTCGAACGGGAAAGGGATACGGTGGTGCTGGCATCACCGCGTCGGCTGCCACAAAATTCGTCGAGGAGGACACACCCGGATTGGCACTCTTGTCATCGCCATTACTGACGTTGTTGGCGTTGCTGAACGTTCCCGCCACGGCCTCTCCTCGTGTTTCCATTGGTGCCGTGGGAAAAGGAAGAGTATGAAAAATCGGTGGGGGTACCACCATGGAGGTTTGCTCTTTTCGCTCTGCAAATGACGTATCTCCCATACCATTTGCCAAAAAAGGAACCATCATGGTAGTTGGCATTATGCCAGGTTGAAAGGAAACGCTAGGGGGCATCTGCGTCTCCGGCATAAAGGGGAAAGAAGCAATAATACTCCCAGGAGCAGCCCCATACACCGGACCAGGTGCGACTCCTCCCATAGTCCTTGTATTCATTATGGGAGACAAATTAGACAAGGCTTCAAGGTGCATGCTGCCCGAAGTGGGAATGTGTTCCGCGCTCTGAGCTTGAGCGGAGACATGGTTATAACTACCAGTACGACTTCGGGAAGTACACATCCCGGTGGAGTAAGAGGAAACCTCATTGCCAGACGCATGACCCATCCTCTCTCGACCAGATCCTTTTTTCTTTTCTGAATTCCGAGAATTATCCACATCTCGCCGGCCACGAATGCCAATAAGCATCGTACCAAAAGAGGTGTGGTGAAGCGCACACGTACGACCCTCCCGAGTTTGAATCAATTTGTTAACTGGCCATAAATTGAGAGAAATCCCACGTGCTCTCTCCACCTCGTCTCGAAGTGCCTTTACATGCCGAAGCAACGGCAAAGTCGCCTCGCCCATATAACTATTAGCAACATCTTTGCACTTTTCCCTCCAACTAGCCACAATAGAATCTTTTCCATGTAACATTTGCCGCAGTTCCTCACTTTCATCCTTAAGCTTGTACTGGACCCAGCCTCCCCCAACAAGTTTCGTAGGTGAACTAAGGAGGCTGGATACCCACATGGTGGCCTTCACCACATACTTTGACCCAAAACAAACCCGGACAAACTCCACAGGAGCATCTTTGTCCAATACTGCATTCTTGTTGCTCTCCCTAACCTGTAGTGGTTCGGGCGTGTTAGCATACATTCGAACATTATTCGCCTCCCCATCTTTTTCTGTGTGCCCCACTGCTGCGGGGGCAGCAATGTGCAATGCTTCATTAGGGCATGTCGCTGGATCCTCCTGCTCTCCCTCAGCATTAGGCTTGTGATCGTATTCACTTATTGCCGTGGATTCAAATCCATCAAGCACAACTCGTGGTAGTTCTATCGCACACAAACCTGGGCCTAAATTTGTCTGACACTGCAAGAAGGCGACATTTTCAGTTAAAGACTTCAACGAAGAGTAATTGTCAACTGCCGCCTCAACGTACAAGGTGAGACGCTCTAGTCGTTGCTGCAGCATTTTTAAAGCTTCTTCTCGGACTTGTGCATCGACGGCGCTTTTATTGCGTGTCGCAGCCTCAAAAAATAACCCATCGTAGGGGGAGAACGAGAAGACTCCGGATTCAGAGTTAAATATGTCCTGAAATTCATCCCTAGCAATTAAGGAGGGTTCTGAACTACGAGCACGAAAAAATGCGTTCAGGTACTGGTTTCGCATCATTACAGCAGCCAGAAGGAGAACACGTTCGAGTGTGCGGTCTCCGGCAGAGGCAAGTACACCGGCATTTAAGAAGAGCGATACATTGTCAGAATTAAAAGAAGAACGATGACCTGAGCCAGTGTTGATATTCATAGGTATGCTTGGTTCCTCTGCAGGGTTTCGTTTTGACACTTTAAATGCCTTACATAGGTTTGCCGTAAAGCAAGCAAAGTACCCAATGACAACGATACTGCGGCCGTGCCAAAAGAAGCACCCGGAGCGTTCCTGTCCGTCCTTGCAAACGAGGCAAAGGGCACATGGAAGCGGGATAAGGGGACTTTGAGTGTCCGCAATCATTTCTGCATCGCTGTCATAGAGCCCCTCCTCAACCGCCTCCAAGAATACATCTAGATCTTCCTCAGTAAAGGTGTCGGCAAGAAGCTCTGGCCACAACGTATATGCTTTCCCACGGGCACTAGCGTACAAAATGGCTGGATCGCCGCGCATAATTACAAATTGACGTCGGAGCTCCTTTACACCGGCAATATGAGAGGCTGTCAATGTCGCCTGGGAGGCATGAGCTTCCTGCTGGCGACCAGCCCCAACCTGCAACCCCTCCTCCTCACTTATTTTTTCCCCGCCATGGTTGTTTTCAGCCGCTGGAACACCAAAAAAGGCTTTTGTTAGTGGAATCAGTCCAATCTCATAAGTACCTCTGAAGTAGGAATACAGCGTCGTCGACTCACGAGACGGTAAAGCGCCCATTACTTTGTTGATAATGTCCCTGCCTTTCTCCGCGTCTGCTCCTCTCAAACACCTGCGATGGCTTGTATTCTGTTATCCGGCCCTCCCCTGCCCTCACAGTTAGACGTCCCTCTTTTTTTTTTTTTTTTATTTGCTTCCTTCCCTTCTTCTTCTCGCTCTCGTGGATGCAATGGTCCGCCTGATAAATATTCTGTATATCCACACCTGCTGCCTCTTTTCGGTTCTTTGATTCTGGTACCGCGTTTGCTGCCGCTTTACCGATTCGCTGAGCCGCCACTTTTCCCTATTTTCTTTGCTGACGGAATTGTTGCTTCCCCTCCTTTTCCTTCGATTTTGTGTTGCAGTTGTCGTCCTTCTCCCTTTTCCTCCCTTGTCCTTTGAGTATAGTCTGCTGCTCCGTTAGTCTATCGGAGTCAACCAGGCCACAACGCCACTTCCTTTTCCAGCCGGCCTATCGTAGGTCCCTCTTTGCCCTGCCTTTGCGCTGGTCGCTTAACGTTCCCGGTGCAGACACGATCTCAGAGACGGCAAAGCCGTGGACTGTGGATGTGTGAATGTACGCGTGTGATGATACTGTTGTTCTGCTCTCGGGATTCAACGCGCACACACACTCACAGTAGCACCTCTCTCCGACGATATTCGTTCTGTTTTCCTTTTCCCCGTTGCACGTTATACAGCCACGAAAGCGAAATAGGGGGAGAGAGAGAGAAAGAAAGAAAGAGTCAGCAGCAGCAGCAGGAGTGGGACTGCGCGAAGGCGTGCAAAGGGAGAGGCAGCAGAGCCAAATCAAAAAATAAATAAATAACCAAAATAAAATGTTCGCCTGGCAAAAGTATTGCCCCTTCCCCACCCCTTCCGGCATAACAAAAAGAGAGTGGAGATGGAGAGAGCACAAGCAATGAGTGGTGACAGTTTGGGTTCAATGCGCTCCCTCCCCACACGCACAAGGCAAAGAAGAAAAACAAGCAACTCACAAGCAATACTCATGCAATAGAGAATAGGGAGGACACAACACAGGATGAACGGAAAACAAAAACAAAAACAAAAACAACAAAGAAGACAAGACAAGTAATTACATACCAAGTCACATCGGTTTGCGTACCTCCTCTCAAGACCCCCTAATAGCCAAAAAAAAAACAAAAAAAACAAGAAGGAAGGAAGGAAGGAAGGAAAGGAATAACGGAAAACACACACACAAGCAAACAATACGAATAACAACAACGACCCCTTTCGCCCAGAGACTCAGCCACAAAAATACACAACCCTAACCCAACAACAACAAAACGAGGACAAAACATGCTGCATTACTCGTTTTTGTTTTGTTTAATGGCGTTTTTTTTTCTACACTTACGCATTTGCAGTGCATACACGCCAACAATGTCAAAGTAGGGTGAGGTGGTGGTGGTGGTGGTGGTGGGGTGGGGTGATGTGGGGGGTAGGTTTTCCTTCACTTCCGCACCTTTCGGCGTATACTAGCCGTCCTCAGCAAGATGTATTGAGACTACTAAATAGTAATACCAAATAGTTATCCTAATAATAATGTCCACACGTGCAACGTAGCTGTACAACCCCTCCCCCTATGCGGGCACGAGGCGTGTGGTGGAAAGAAGCGGCATAATTAAAAAAAAAAAAACTCCTTTCCTCCCCCCCCTTTTCTCCCTCTTTCCCTCCACGCTACAATCTTGTAGTGACTTCCAAATTGATGCCCTCGCACCACATTGATTTGTTGGCAGACGTGTAACAATGCATGTACAGGTATGAGCAGGAAGATACATGAAAAAAAAAAAAAAAGAAAGAAAAAAACATCAAAAAATATATACGTGGACAAAAGAAGAAAACAACATATATATAAATATATATTCCCTTTAGAAATTTTTGGTGAGGCAAATACACACGTATTTCCCCCTCTCTTCCCTCCCCCCCCCTTTTTTTTTCTTCTGCCTTACGCCCACCGCGCGGAGACGACAAGGCATCGCGTCACACCCGCCCAAGCAGATGCACAGAGAGAGAGAGAGAGAAAGAAGAAAAGAAAGAGTGATAGAAAAACACTTCATACATAGGTGGCAATCCACCACCACCGGCACGAAAAAAAAAAAAAAAAAAAAAAAAAACGCAAGAAAAAGAAAGAAAAACAAAACAGAAATAGAAATAAGCAACACAAACGACAAAACGCAACAGAACGAAAAAAAAAAAAAAACGTGGCAAATAAACGTGCATGAGACATTTATGCTACATGCCTCACGCGTTTCCTTCCAATACTTTTTTTTTCTTTTGTGTTTTCCTCATCCCTCCCTGCCTTCCCTCTTGTTCTCTTCTCCTTTACTGGGTGAGGTGGTTGCACGAAGCCACAGAGCGGCAAGGTGCCTCCTTCGCTCTTTTATGCTTCAGTGTGGTCGCTGTCCTCCCCCCCCCCTCAGCATCGCAGCTTTGATGGCCTTGCCACTCCCACGGCCCCCATCTTCTCTCCGTGGCCCCTCCGTGTGACGCATGCAAGGCCCAGCAACGCACATACGCACGGAGAGACGTACTCGCCAACCGTAACCATAACGTAAAGGAGAAAACCACATATTTACCGTCTCAGAATAAAAAAAAAGAAAATAAAACAGCAACAACAAAGGGAAATTACACAAAGCAATGATACGACGTGCATGTCGTAAGAAAATCTTATTTTCTCTTTATGGATCTTTTTCTTCAGGGACTCCAGTGACCCGCTGAGGTCACGGGTACGGGACGTACCAGCTCAACACGGCTATCCGTCACCAAAAAGTAATTCCCTACAGACTGCATGTATGCTGGCTGCAATTCGGTCGTTCCGTTGACTATGTTGATAAACGTCGCTCCACCACCCTTGGCGACAATATTACCACCGCTGCCACTGATATCGTTGCCGTTGTTGTGGTCTATGGTGCGCATCATGGTGGTGACGCTTGGGGTCACTGGCATCATATTCTGATGCGGTGCCGCGGAATCTGAGTTGGTGAGCACAACGTACGGCATTCCAAATGACTGTATTGGGAGAGCCGTTGCTTTGGGCGATTCCTGGTAGAAAGGAAGAAAACCTGAGCCCACTGACGTTGACATGGCAGAAAGAGGAAATACCTCTGAAGTGGAACTAAGCGGCTGTTGCAGCATCACTACAGATGAGCGGTGTGTGGAAGCAAGGGAATTGGTCCAAGGTGGCAACGCCGAGACAGGCAGAGTCATGGGGCAGATTACTGGTGACCCTGTAGACATGAATACTGAGGAAATGGTGGAGTTTGCGGCCTCATCGCACTCTGGCAGTGGCCGTGTGGTAGGCGCTTGCGCTCCCACATTTGGGTGCCCCGGGTACTTCAAAGATGATACACTACCTCCACTTTTAACCGCCACACCGCTATCTAACGCCTGCTCCAACGCCTGACGTGACCTCCGATGCCCACTGCTTGTAGCATGCGATCTATATTGTTTCACCTTGACGGTAGCGAGAAATGGTCCACAAAGTGGTGAGTCGAAGATGCGGTATATTTTGCCGTCATGACTGCACTCCTGCTCTGCGCTCCAGACGCTCAGGTCGCTTGTTGGGGTCTCACGTGCTCGAACCACCTCGCGAAGCAAATTCTCAAGGTGCTTCTTCACCCGTGACGTGAATTCTGTGCCACCTAGAAAATAGTTTACCTCCGGGCTGGTATTCAGCCAGTTTGTCATCACCTGCTCCTTATTTTGCGTCGCCGTGTCGTTCAAGATGAACTGCCCCCACATCCCACGCACTGCTAAGGGGATGACTGTTAAGCACGCCCGCAATATAAAACGGTGCAGCAATGACCCTTCGATTTGCATCATCAAACCACTTTCACCGCTTTCTGGTACCTCGTAGGAAGAAAAACGCGGGGCATCGTGGTACTCCTGCACCTTTTCCACGCTCCACGCAACGGCAGCCGTGTCATACACTAACCTTAGCACTGGATAACTATTCCACGGTGTACGGACAATTAGTGATAAATGAGAGATACGGCGCGAAAACAGTTCCATTGCCTCCGCCCCCCTATGAACCGATGCAGCTGCCCGGAAGAATTCCTCCTTAAGCATCATCGCGGCAAGCGTCACCACCCGCTCCAAAGTACGATCCCCAGCCGCTTTTAAAATGGCCTTCTGCAAGTAGAGGCAGGGTTCATCGTCCTCTCTGTCTTCGTATTTGTGGCAGCCGAAGTGTCCAATGATGTTTATGCGTCGACCGCAAAATGAAAAACAGTCTGTTCCCTCTCGATCATTGACGTAAACAAAACAAACAGCACATGGTACAGGACGCAGTGGGGTATCCTCATCTTCGAGCATATTCTTTGCAGTATCATAAAGGGTCGCATCAATAACATCAAGTAATTTGTCAAGATTTTCCTCGGTGTAGGATGCCGGTGGTAGCTGCTTCATGTTGTATTCTGCACCACGCATGTAGTTGTACCGCACACTTGGATCGTTCCGCATACGAACAAACTGCCCCCTCAACTCCTTGCTTTCCTTGCGGAAGTAAGGATGAACTAGAGGGATGAGGCCCACCTCGTGCGCGCCGTAGCAAAGAGTGAAGAAGGTAGAGGACGCATCGCGTGAGGGAACCCCGCCCATAGTGCTGATAGCAATGATAAATGCCTCTTCGTCTTGCCACCTTCCCTTGTTTGTTCCGCCTGTTTTATTTAGTTTCCACAAGGCGTGACAGCGGGGAATGATCTTCCTCTCCTCCCCACACCCTCCTTTCCCTTCTTCTGTGTTATTTTCGGTGTTTTGATGTGTTGACGTGCGCTTCTACTTCCTTCGCCTGGAGGACACCACGTATGTGGGTGCGTGTTGCCCGTTTGTCTCGTTCGGGTCTCTTGCTGCACCTCAGCCACTGACAGAAGAGGTGTTCCACTACACGCGGGCCGCAGTGCAACACCCACAGAGAGAAATAGATCGAAGCAGAGAGGCAAAGGGGACAAAGAGGGGAATGACGTGAGATCTACGGCGCTGGTTTTCTCTTTGTAAAAGGAACAAAACCCACACCGTGTCGAGTAGTCAAACGAGACCAGCAAAACAAGAGTGGAAGTACGAGTAACGCACATACGTGCATGTGCGTAAAAGAACGCCAACACCCACAAAATTAACGCCGCTCACACAACAACAACAACAAAAGACAGCGAGAGTAGCACAGCAGAGTCAATGAACTACAACAGGAGCAACACATAAACAACATATATTGTTTTACCTTCTTCTTTGGTTTCTTACTCCATTCCACCCTTGAACTATCCTCACTTCCTCCTTTCCCTTCCCACTTTCCTTCGTTCTTTGCGTCCACGTATTTACAATGGAACTACTCGCTGCATTGCCATCCTTCTCCCCCTCTCCCTTTACTTGTGTGTGTAATACATGCAGTGCCCAGGTTCCAACTGCCCTTCCCCCACCGTGTGGTTGCCGTCCTCCGCTCCGTCTGGTGGCTCGTGCACCCTCAATTGGCGTTTCACCCCTCCTCTCTCCATTCCCCCACGTATAGTAGGAGTCAGATGAGTGCGGAAGTTACCCCGCCATTCCTTGACTTTTTGTATGGGTCGCGCGTCCCCCCAGCCATTAATGCGGTGCGGCACCAACAACAGCCGTAGCACGGTGGTGTGTGCCTGCGTGTGTGTGGGCAGAGGAAGCAAAGAGAAAGGAGTGAAAACAGCAAAGGCAATACCTATGAACAGGCAAAAAAAAGGTGATCAATGTACAGCAGCAGCAGCAGCAGCAACGTCTGCCCCCTCTCCAGTTCAGCCACATCTCCACAATACGCCGATTTCCTGCTTCTTGCGAGGCGAGGCAAAATAAGGAATGCAGATTCCCGTACAACAACGGGGCGCCACGCTTCGCCGGTGCTGACACCATCCCGCCCCGCCTCTGCGTCTTTGCACCCCCAGCGCTGCTCCGTCTTGCGTGACAAAAACGGGAGTGCAGGGACGTCCCTGCACGCACGCAAACAAATAAACAAAACAAAATAGCAGCAAAGACGACATCGACAGGGGCTCTCTCTCTCTCTCTCTCTCTCTCTCTCTTCTTCTCTCTTCCCAACAGCATAAACAACAAAAATCAAATTTAATCAAGAAAAAAAAGTCAAAAGATAAACAAATCACAATAAAAAACAAAAACAAAACACCAAAGAATCAATTTTATCCTCCTCTCCACCCCCAAAAGTGTCTTTCGCTCCTCCTCTGGTGTTGTTCCTCGTGAGAAATTACGGCTGGGAGCGGAAAGACAGTCGCAGTGACGGAGAGTCACAGAGTGGAAGCTCCACCGCCGCATGCAGACCACATCAGAAGGGCGCATGGAACCAAGGTGAATTGATGCGGTAATAATGAGAACGACACCCCACCGGAGCTAAACAAAGTCATCGAACAACAATACGTTGAAAGCGGGAAAAAACAAAGCAAGAGGACCAGGTGCGACCACACTAAACAATCACACACACACACACACAAATATACATCAAACACAACATAATGCGATGAAGAAAGAAAGAAAGAGCTCAATTCAAAACACAAGAAAAGAAAATATATATATATATATATATATGTGGAGCATTACCGTCGAACCGGCGCTACGGGTATGCCACAAGCACAGTAACCCCCCAAAAATGATTTTTTTTTTTAAAATGCAGTGAGAGCAGGTAAGAAGTAGAATCGAAGGGGATTCCACTACTTCATCAGTTAACTCTTCTATTACGCACTCTTCATCTTCGTTTTTTCCCCCCCCCTTTCTTTCTTTCCTCCTTCTTTTCCTTTTCTGTTGTTCCCCACGTGGTCTGTCGCTCCTCTAGGCAAAGGTAAAATCTTCCCTTCCCTTCCGCCCATTTTTGTTTTCGTGTCAATCGAACACGCCTGTTACATCCGTTTTTCGCCCTCTTCCGCTTTTTTTTTTAAATTGTTGTTGATGCTGTTGTTAATGCGATCTGGTTTTCTTCTTTGCCGTTCCCCTCCCTCTCCCTCTCCCTTCCTCTTTTTTTTGTTGTTGTCGGTGTGTTGCCTTGTTTTTTTTTCTTCTTTTCATTTAGAGGGAGGAGGCGAGGAGGCGAAGAGGCGAGAAGGCGAGAAGACGAGAAGACGAGAAGATGAGGGGTGGGGGGAAAACAACCACCCTCTTAGTCGTCCTCAAGTACCATATGCCTGCAACTTGTCCTCTCCCTCCCACGCCGCTTTTTTTTATTTTTTATTTTATTTTGGTTGGTTTTCTCCCCTCCCCTCATCTCCGCCTTCTTTGTTACGCTTTACCGTTACATCCGCCCCTCGCACGCACAAACCCCCATCCTCCGACCCACGCAAAGAGGAACACGTACACAGCCCCCCCCCCTTTTCCCCCGTTTCCGTCCTTTTTGTTACCTCGGATGTTTCTCCCTCATCTTGTTATATATGTATAACAAATGTTCTTCACTTGTGTCCAGCCCCCTCCCCCCCTTTTTCTTTGTTTTTTGATTTTGTTTTTCTTATTATTGCTTCTCTCCGTACACACCCAATTGCCTGACGTTGTTTGCTTGCACTTCAACGAAGTGCGAGGGTGTCCCTCTGCATCTCAAAGACCCCCTTTTTTTTTGTTTTGTTTTATTCGACATTACTTCTCCCCCCCGCACACACACCATCGCCCCAGCGTGCAACGAACACGTCTTGCCCCACCGACGCCTTTTGGGTCGTATGTAGAGGCGAGTGAGTGTGTCTTTTCCAACCTTAAAGTTGTCGCATATGGGAGTGTAAAACAAATATAGAAAACTACGACACATATATGTATATGCTTATATATGTATATGTATATATAGGCGCACCGATTTCTCCAGGCCGATCCCCTCCTGCTCAATTCGTTTGCGCCCCAGCCCTGGGCTCTCACCCCTCCTTTACTCAGTTACTCTCCGAGCCCACAAACCGACGTTGCAATGCATGTGCGAATTCCAACCACCACTATTGCAATTATTTCTGCAGTGGCTCTTTTTATTCTGGTGGTGCTGGCGCCGGTTGTGGCGGTGCTAACTGTGGAAACATGTATGAGCTATAAGGGATCCCATATGAGGGAGGTTGCGCAAAGTATACGGGCGGAGTGGGAGCAGGCGGAAAGGTGACGGGTGCGGTTGCGGTATGTGGTATGGTAGACGGTTGATAAATTTGACCGCCGGGTAATACGTACACAATCTGCTGCGGTGGCATGCCTGGCGCAGCCGCCACGCCGTAGGATGAAGGAGTAGAAGGGACGACTTGCATACCGGCGGGCGACGGAAACGCAGAAGTGGCTGGAATGGTCGTTTGTGGCGGGGTGTAGCACAGCTGCGGTCGACCTCCAGGAATTATAAATTGCTGCTGTTGACCTGGTATGAGTGGAATTGGTGTTGCGGCGGTATTGAAAGGCATGACGTTCGGTGTCCAGCCGGGAGGCATTCCCATCACCATTGGGGGCAACTGCGACCAGAATCCAGTTGCAGCCGCAGTTGAAGACGCAGGAGGGTACATCATCATTTGCTGAGCAGCAGCAAATTGGGCCTGTTGCTGCAGGAGCAACTGCGATCCCACAAAAAGCCACTGCTTGAGTGTAGCTGCAAGCACTGAACCACCGTAGAGACGTTCGTCCTCTTCTTCTTCCTCCAAAAAAACGCCACTGTCATGCCGTTCCTGTATCAACCGTTGACACTCCTGCAAACATTCGCTTGCGTTACAGCGAATATGTTGACCCTTGACGCAATCCACCTGCATTTTACTCTCCACATACCGCAACCACGCGCCTAGAAACTTGTTACTGAACGTCACTTCCAAACCGTGTTCACCAAGGTGCGTCTCATACAGCGAGAAATGCGTAGGGGCAGCCTCTTGCATGCGAAGCTCCTTGATCATGTCTAACAGAGCATAGTGCGAATAAAACATACGCAGGTCGCGGTAGTTATTCCGCTGTAGAACAAGACGTAATTGCAAACGTTCCATATAATAATCAAATGAAGCTTCAACATCTTTGTCGTTAGCGGGGTAATGAAGGGCGCAGGCATTCACAAATTGTTTTCGAAACGCTAAAGAAGCTAGAAGGACAACATGCTTGGCAAGGTAACCATGCGCCTCAACATCATCAAATATGACATCTAACACCACGGGAATGCAGGGCTTTTTGCTATCCCCCATACCGGGAGTTGACGAGGATGGGCTACCCCCGCCGCCAAGCACCTGTGTCTTTGTAAAGGTGGTTGGATTAATAAATTGCACCGGACGACTCAAGCAACATGAGATCAATCCCACAAGTTGCAGACGATGGCCTTTTATCATTAAGACATTCCCACCATTGGCTGCAAGGTTCTGATGCTGCCTGTTTGAAAGCGAGTGTGGCTTTGCTGGTGTGAAGGAGTCACTGCTAGAGTTGTCGGGGTCCAAGATACAGACAGCAAATGGCACTGGACGCACCAGTGGGAGGGACGTGTGTTGCTGTGCGGTGTGTGGCTGTTGGGGGGCATTCGACGACTCCTTTGCCGAGGTTTCCGCCGGCACCGCCGCGGCATCCGAGGTGCCTGACTTATTCTTCATTTGCTGCTGATACTCAAGCAAGGCTTCCCTGCTTATGATAGCGTCTTTTGCCTTGATAAGGAAGTACGGGTCCGTAGAGGCGATGAGGCAGTCCACAATGGGGCCGCTACCCGTCGGTTCCGCTCGCTTCGGTGGGGCACTCGCCGTCGCACTCCCCGGCGTCGCAGCCCCTGACGGTATCGCCCCGGGTGTGGGTTGGTCCACCCCCGTGCGTGAGAGAATGTCGTTGAGCTTCCGCTTTGCCTTTTTATGCGTGTCATTGAAGAAGCGCGGCAGCAGGGGCACAAGGCAGATTTCAACATGAGTGTCCGTCGAGGGCCGAGGGACGAGCGTCGTGTAGAACAACTCTGGGGTGTCATGTGACGGGAACGCGCCCATGGCTGCCCTCTTACCCTGCTACTACCCCCAGCAACACCGGAAAATGCGTTGAACCCTCTCGCGGTGAAGTCCAACGGACTCGTCGCTTCCCTGCGCCGAGGGGTCCGAGAGATGCCTTGTCGTCTGCCTGTTTGGCCCACGTGCAGCTGCGCGCCCCGGTTGCGCCCGTCCCCTGTGCCTTAGTTTGGTGGCCTTACGTTGACTGACGGCGCTCCTCCTACCAGCAGCGGCGTTGCTCGTTTAGTTGGCGTCCCTTTTTTTTTCTCCACAAAGAGAGAAAAAAAAAAAACAACAACACGCTCACACACAAAAGGCTCTTCAAGCTCCGCTTCTCCTTCTCGCTTGCTTCGGCACGTGCGTGTGTGTGTGTATAATGTGCCCCCTTTTCCTCAGCGTCCTCTTCTGCTTCGAAGTCTGCCGCGTATCTTTTTTTTTGTTGTTTGCGCTTTCTCTTTCTTTCCTTTGTTTTGTTTTAAGGGTCTTTACCCCCTCACCTCTTTTTCTCTTTTAAAGAAAAAATGAGTTCAAATTTTATTTTATTGCGGTTGAGTTCGCGTCTGAGCGTGTGCAACTACCACCACGTTTCTTTTTCTCTGCAGTCCTCCCCCCCCCCTTTTTTTTTCTCTTTATATGTTTCGCCTCCTTTACTTCCTGGCCCTAATCCACGCAATGCGTCTCTCTTCCTCTTTCTCGCTGTTTAGTTGCTTGCTTGCTTGCTTGTGCTTACTGCGCCTACGTGTGGTCCTTTGCTTAGCGTCAAAGCCAACGAGAAGAGCAATGACAGGTAATGAACAACAACAAATGAAGAAAACGAAGGTCACCGTTTAACGCCCACGCACGAGAGGCAAATAAGCGGGAAGAAGCGTGAAAATGGCAACAAATACACATACCCACGGCATGCACGAGCGGGCATCTCCTTTCATTCTGTCCCTGCCTCTTTCCCTCTGTGTGTAGGCCGTTACGAAGACGGAGGAGGAAGAGTGGTGATGGCGGCCGCCACCAAAGAAAATCCCATAAATAATAAATGAATATATATATATATTTAAAAAACAACAATAATTCTTACACCTGTCCCCCACGCCCCTGTCCACTACCCCTTGCTTCCTTCTTACCTCTCCCTCCACCCCTCTCCTGCAGAGATAGACACGTACGGTCAACCCCATGCCCGGGAGCAGATGACCCAAGGAGACACACCGCATGCGTCCAAGGGGGTTAAAAATCCATCATTTCGCACGCCCTTCATACCACAAACAAAAGAAAAGCGGCATTTCCATGCCTTCTCGGAAGGTAATGGAAGAACCCAAACAAAGGAGGCGCAACGGAGACGGAAAAAAAAGGTGTGTGTGTGGTGGGGGGGGGTGGGGGGGGGGGGTAGGGAAGGAAA